GCGGGGATCCTCTTGCGTTTCTCAACTCTCTGACCCTGGGGCCGTGTCTGCCAGATATAGAATTCTAAAAAACTATATCCCACAGTGTCATCCCAACGGAGGCACAGAGAGTATCCCGACGGGCAAAGCCCGTATGCTTTTTCGCTTCCCTACGCCGCAATTTTGGCCTCCGTGAAGATCTGATTTAAAAAACAAATCTCCCCGGCTAACCTAGTTACGACGTAAGGTTTTGCCTCTGTTTTTCAGGCCTAGGCGCTGTTAACGCCAAGTCACCGCTGCCGTGCTTACATTCACGGCTTGAACTAACAAGTTCAGCTCGGACTTGGTCGTTGCAGCTCCTCGGCGGTGTCGCTCTTCTCGCTGTGGCACGTCTGCACTGTTCGACTGCTGGAGTCGAACTACTTACTACTACTAACTACTGAAGTCCCGATCGGAAGGTGCGCTGCTCTTTTATACGTTTAGTAATTGAGAACTCGCAGCGCTCTTCCGCCGAGAGGCCAATGACAGCGAAGTTAATAACGAGCGCTGTGATTGGCCGGAAAAGTAACAATCTTTGTCGAGATTGTGTATTTTGGCGACAATACTCAGTTGAAAAACTATATCACCACATTCCAAAAACATTAAAAGAACTCCTAGAATCTAAATACGTAGCTGACTTCATAGAATTCTTGAAATCTATAAACTTTTTTAATAAAATGTAATACAACATGAGTTTTGAGAACATAGACCAAACATATATACATATAAAATCCTGCATTGCAAATAGCAACAAAAAACATCAAAACCATTTCATCTTTATGTTCCAAAACTAAGTATCCTATAGACAAATTAGATAAAACAAATGTAGTATACATCATTAGTTGTACTCAGTGTGAAGCTGAGTATGTTGGTGAGACCGGAAGAAATCTCTCAAATCGCATTATTTCTCACAAAAGTGATTGCCGAATACATAAACCATCTTGTGCATTGATATATTATATATTATTTCTATGTAATTTATATATGCAATCGGTAAAATATCACATTTTGAATTTTCCATGTATTTGTTACATTTTTTCAGGCATCTATCAATGGTGAATAAATCTTCTTCTTTTTTGTTACTAAACAAAAAATAATTTTTTAAACAAAATTTTATTTTTGACAATATGTCAAAAATAAAAATTTTTAAGTTGGTATTTACGACATTTAGGCTGAATTGTAGCTATTCAATTTTTGTTTACAAATTCAATTATTTTTGTTAAGAAACTTTATCAAAATTTATTTCAGAGAAACATTTATTAGAATAGGGCATGTTTTTAATAATATTTTTTGTAATAATGTTAGCAGCATCTTTATATAAAAAACTAATTTTATTTGGTGAGTTAACAACAAAATTTTTTATTTTTAGTTCAACTTTGTAAGATATTTTGTATTTTTTAGAAGCTCTTGATAAAAATTTTAATCACAGTTGAAAGCTCGAGTAAAAAATAGTCAACAAATAGCCCCTTTTATTGACTCCAACTCATCCAAAACAGTTTTATATTTTTTTCCAAACGAGTGACAACTACTTCTTTTTCTTACTCTTATATATATATATATATATATATATATATATATATATATATATATATATACATATATATATATATATATATATATATATATATATATATATATATATATATATATATACATATATATATATATATATATATATATATATATATATATATATATATATATATATATACAGATTGAACGAAATAATTTCGGAACATAGGAATATAATGTATTTCGGCTCAATTCTGCTGTAGGCGGTTGGCCAACAAAAGATTGTCAAATAATTAAAATAATATTATAAAAATCCAATACTTCAGCGGGCTGCTGGATTCTGAACTCATAAAAATTGAAAGCTACACATAAATCTACGATTTTATTATGCTGTCAAACCAGTTATAGTCCAGGAAATGAAGTATTTCACCTCGCAATTTTTTCGTGCTGCGTAGATTGATTTGAAATTTAACAGAAGGTAGGTAATAGCCTAAGGATCAACATCTATAACGAACCAAAGTGCGCCAAAGCCTAGGGGGTGGTTGCCACCCCATATCCGGGGTGAAATTTTTTTTACGTTTTAACTACAGGTTTCGATTAAAAAAGTAATTCTAAACAAAAAATGTGCTATACATTTTTTTTATAAATGATATTTTTCAAGTTATTCGCTATTGAAAGTAACAACTTTTAGACGAAAAAATCCACGTTTTTAATCGATTTTTCGCGAATAACTCGAATATGGTGCTTTTATCAAAATTTTATCACAAAAATTGTAGAGAACAAATTTGTAGCTTTTAAAAAGACAAATACAATTTATTTTTTAAAATGTTTTTGCGATATAATAGCAACCGAAATACGGCCTATCAACGTTTAGCGCTTTTCTTCAAATGCCAAATTTGAAAGATTCAAAGTCAGATATCGGCAAAATGACGCATTTTTGGAAGAAAACTCACAAAACCAAAGAGCGTAAATAGACCTATCATAAAAAATACTCTAGCTCAAAAATTGAATGAGTTATGATGAAAATAAGGTCAAATACCTCATTTTTTACGAAAAAATCGATGAAAACAACCCCCTAACCACCCGCATAATCAAAATCGATCTTTACCCTTCTGCAATTCCCTTTGTACATGTATTGTTAATACGTACAAGAAGTTTGACCCATTTAAAATGCTTAATTTTAGAAAAAGTACAGCTTAAAGCGAGAAACGATTTACAATTTCATATTTTTTACCCTTCTTTTTTTAAATATGCCTGAAAACACTGAATATATGAAAAAAATAAAAATTACCAAATTGTAGGCTTTTTTAATGATTAAAATTATTCTTTATTTAGATTTGTTGTATAATGAATATTTGGCGAGATATAGCCGTTTAAAGCATCGATTTACGATCAAGCACCATCTTTTTCGAGCCCTTTAAACTCAAAATTTAAAAACCAAGAGTTCCAAAAAGATTTAATTCACAGATCCTTGTAGCTCTTGAAAACCTCTACAAATCGTTTTTAAAGAAACACTCTATCGTTAAAAATTAAAGGAAATACGTTAAAAAAACTAGTTAATTTTTTTCCGGAAAATTCCATTAGTATAGTACAGTACATTTCGGAGCATGATATTCTACAAAACCGGTATATTAGGTAGTGGGGCGTTATACATTCGAAATTTTAAGCGTTCTTATTTTGAAATCCCATACAACAGAATAAAACATCTGCTCATATGTCTATAGCTTGGCAATGAAAATATCAGAGCAACAGATTGGGGATGGTATTCCAAAGATGGTTTGTTATTACCCGTACGCATGAACAAACAACCTGCACCCGATGAATTTTGAAAATTATTTTTTGCCAATGCAAAAAAGGATGCGGCGTTTCATGTGGGTGCAGAAAAGTTGGTTTATACTGTAACTCTACTTGTTCTGGGTGCTCAGGTGAAGGGTGCAATAACAGTCCACCAATAATTGAAGAAGATGAGGATGACATAGATCACGATGAAGATGTAATTGATGACGAATAAAATTAATATTATAATTGTTTTACCTATAAATGTAAATATTTTCAACTATTTATGTAAATGTATAAGAATAAATGGTGCCTTTTTATGTTGATAAATTTTTTTGTATTTAATTTTACTTTTTTCAATTTATATCTTATAAAATAGTTTATAAAAACTGCAATGTTGTAAAGGGTGATTTTGAAAGTTGAAAAGTTGCAAAATTTTGGCAAAAAATTGTTTTCACCTATAGCACTCATAACAATTGATTTTTAAGGGTTGAAAATGTATGAATTTGTATTTTAAAGTATAAAAAAATCACTATTTAACCAATCCAAACCAAATTTCACTCATCTTAAGATTTGTAATATTATTTTACAATTTTTGAAAATTAGGGGTAGTTTTCACCCCTAAGAACAATCAGGGTTTATCGGCATGACATAAACTATAAAGCAGAGGGTGAGTTGAGCTTAATTCCAAATTTTTATGCAAATCGTTCCAAGGTGAAATCATTTTCTTCGCATTACTAAATTTTTTTATATTAATCTCTAATAAGGGTCGCTTTTTAAGGGTTGAAATATAATGGAACTTTATTCAAAAGCACGAAACTATCATTATTTAATTAATTCAAACCAAATTTTACCCATATTCAGGTTTAATATGTTATTTTATAATTTTTGACAATTAGGGGTAGTTTTCACCCCTAAAACCCTTCAGCGGACTTCGGTTCGATATAGATTTTGATCCTTGGGCTATCACCTACCTTCTCTTAAAATTTCAACTGGATACATGCAGGACGAAAAAATTGCGAGGTTTTAACTTTTTTGGAGCTTTATTTCCTGAACTATTATCACTTCCTTAGACAAACCCGTCTTACGCAAACAACTTTGTTGCAAGACAGATAGTTGAACGATATTTTATACAATGTCTATACCCAGGTATGGATTTATTTTTGTCCTAGTTTTATATTGGTCCACTATTTCAATTGCAGTTCAAACAGACATGTATTAAATTGTATGTTCCGTTTTAATTTGGTTCAATCTGTATATATATATATATATATATATATATATATATATATATATATATATATATATATATATATATTTTAAAACAACACACCAAGAATTAAAATATATATTGTATACATTTAATTGATATTTTGTATATGACTACGTAAGTCGTTATTACTTTTTGTATTTTTCTTATGCTAATAACGCTAAGTGGTTGAAGCAAAATAAATAAAAAAACAATTATTATTATTTATATAATATAATCCCAAAGCGAACGAAAACATTATACGTAAAGAGGAGACCTAAGTGTCATGTTTTTGATAATTAAATATTTATTGTCAACATGTAAAACTTACCAGTTAATTTAATGGTTTCGTTCTCAGTGTTTGTAAATCATTTGTGCTCACTACATTTAATTAAATTTTTAAATTATGTAGTTTTACATTGTCCAAATAATAATTGTCATTTACATCAAATTTAAATACAGCTTTTATGTAGTAATTAGTAGGTACTATCTATCCACTGCATTCACTGACATTAAAGTGCAATCTCTGGTAATGTACACTGTATAAAAGGTTGCACTATTAAAAATGAATGAATAAAATTGAAGAAACCCCAAATTATACAGTAACGTAGCGGATATAGAGGTAATGAAGTTTTAATGAGATTAATTGATATTTGTTTAAGATTGAAAATAACAATCTTTAGGTGTATTATTATACGTTCGTTGGCCATCTTATAATCTTCGGACTTTGATGAATGACGGTTTTGCGTCACTGCTTCTTAGTGAGTGTAACAATATATAAACGTTGCGAATAAAATAGTTCTAACTAATATCTTTATAATCAAAAACTGCGAGAAAAATAATCTTTTTTGTGATTAATAGTTACATGATGGTGAAGATTTTGAACTTGGTACCTATTTTGTGTTGCATATATTTGGGTAAGTACGTTTTCAATATTTTACATTAAGTTTTTTTTACAATTCACCTCAATAATTATAAATACATCTTAAATCTCCTGCCACTTTGTCATACTTTTTAAAAAGGCCCTTTTAAAGATGCAACTAACAGAGTACAGACAATCGGGGTTATTGTATGTATATATGTATAATTTTTGCATCCTTTTTAAGACGTAGGTATGGTAATTGGTTTTGTAATTTTGGCAAAGTCCTATATGATTTTTCTATAGTAACCAAGTAATCCTAAAAATCCTCGAATGTCTTCTGCTATTTTTGGTATAGGTATCTTAAATCTTGTTTCTCTTAATCTTTCAAAAATCTTCTTTAGATTTACCATGTGTTCTTGAAGAGAAGTTAAAAATACAATAATGTCGTCCACTTAGACCAGATATATTTCTCCTATAAGTCCTTTTAGTATATTCTCCATTACTCTCTGGAATGTTGAGGGTACATTCTTGAGTCTGAACGGGATTCTCAGGTATTCATAGTGGCCATTTTTAACGTTAAGTGCTGTCTTCTGGACATCTTCTTCGGCCATTTCAATTTGATGAAACCTGCTGGCTACATCTAGGGTTGAAAAATATTGGGAGCGTCCTAGTTTGTCCAGAATGTCTGTTATATTTGGAATTAGATATCGGGTATTGATGGTTTTTTCGTTTACCTTTCTGTAGTCGACAATTATTATTCGCCATTTAATTTTTCCTGAGGTATCTGGTTTCTTTGGAACGACCCAGATTGGGAATGACCAGGGTGATTGATTCGGTCTGATGATTACTTGATCGCGCATCGAAGTGATCTGCTTACGTACTTATTCTTTATGGATGTGTAGATACTGATATGACTTGGTATAAACTGCAACTTCGTCTTAGTTATTTATTATTTATTTTTATTTATTTATTAACGGATATACCATTTACATTGGAACAATATATAATATATAAAATTGAAAAACATTGGAAAATAATTAGTAAGTTTAACAAAAACTAATAATTAACTTGAATACAAACTAATATCACACAAATAGGAGTCTCTTTTTCACATTTTAAAATTGTTCTAAGGACTGGAAAAATAAGTCCAGATCACTTTGGTACCTATTATATAGTCTCACCATATGAGTAAGAGGCTTGAAGTATTTATAATTAAATTGATGAAATGGTAGATGAAATAATGAAGTATGACTAGTTCCATGAAGAGTGTCAAGACCTAATCGATTTAAAAGTTCAGGGCAATTTATCAAATTATGAGCAATTTTGTAAAGAAATATTAGGCAAATATAATCTTTTCGCCAATTCATAGAATCATCCATTTTCAAGTGATTAGCTATCATACTATAACTGTATGGGACAGAGAGGTCATGAACAACACTACGGTAATTATAGTGTTTACCAAATTTATGCTGAACACGATCAAGCTTGTCTATAGATGTTTGATAGTAAGGTCCCCGTACAACTATTGCATATTACAGTCTGGAGCTAATGAGACCAATAAAAAGAATTGGTAAAACAAAACATGAAAATTGAGAAGTGTTTGTAGTTGTAAACCCTAATTGTTTGAATGCACTGTTTACTGTGACCTCTAGGTGCTTACGAAATGCTAATTTACAATCAAAATAAACACCTAAATCCTTAGCACAATCCTGCCTAGACAGCTGAGTGTTATCAATGCTATAATCGTAATTTAAAATTGTTTGCTTCCTGTGAAAAGTAATAACACAACACTTATCAATGTTTAATTTTAATTCATTTAGTTTGCACCAATCGCTATACCTGCTGATATCTTCTTGTAGCTGAATTTGATCATACTGACAAGTAATGACTTTATAAATTTTTTTATCATCAGCAAAGTTAAGAAATTTTGAATACTTAATTACTTTCTCAACATCGTTAACAAAGAGGACAAAAAGTAGAGGACTACAATGTGAACCCTGTTGTACTCCAGAGAGGATGTCAACAGATTGAGACAACACACCATTTATCTTAATGCTCTGGGTATTACCCACAAGAAAACTATCATACCAATCAAGCCATTTGCCAGCTATACCAATGGCTCCTAATTTACTGATTAAATCACGATGATTTACTTTATCGAATGCATTTGAGAAGTCAGTATAGATGGTGTCCATCTGGTACTTCCTCTTAAAGGCACCCACTATATCATCTTGGTAGACCAACAAGTTTGACACTGTGTCTTTTGTTTGTATATGGTGCTTTATTTGGTTAGTAAATGTTAAAGGACCGTTTGAATGATTAAATATCTCTGCAAACTTCCTGCATAGTCGTCTTAGGTGAGATTCTTCTTTTGTTTTAAGATGATCGGTTCTAAGGAGAGGATCGACATCTATTAGATTACTGTCTTCGGCAGGTATGATATCTGACGTATATATATGATATTATTCGAGATTTATTGGTTGACTTTTGATGGGATTAGTTAATGCTACTTAGATTTATTCATTGGTGTTGTTGGTTAGGTCGGTCTAGGCAAATTGATTACATGCAACGGTGAGAGTTTCTTTTACGATGGCACCTTCGACTTCTTGTCTTGGTATGACGATTTTACCTGATATTCCCTTTACTGGTAATCTGACTTGGGTAATTGTTTGGGGCTTTAGCTGGACTGTATAGAATTGGGCTTTGTTTGTGACATAGTAATTAATAGGAAAAATAGAATGCTCCGTAAGAGTAGCTTGGGTAAAATCGAGATTTGCTTTCAGAAGTTTAAGATTATCGGCCAAAAAGACCGTCAAATGTCATGTGAAATTTAAAAAGATAAAATTTTAAGTTATCTGAGTTCAATTCGGAAAAAATTGGAATTTCTATACAATAATCTTGTGAATGATTTTGAAAAATTGATGTAACGATAAATCGTTCATATTTATTATTATTTTTGTAAAATTTTTTGGCTATATCAGCATTAAGGAAATATTTAGTGGCTCCTGTATCAATAAGAAGTTTAAGATGGGGATTTGGAATTTGGATGTAAGGAAGCTCTCTTTTGTTAGCATAGGAATGCAGTTCTACTACGTTTCTTCTTTTTCTTCTGGAAACGTTTGAAAATTTATATCTTCCTCATATTCTTCTATTCCCGGTTTTCTTGTTCATAATAAGGGTACTCTGGGTATGTGTCATTGTCTATAGCTTCATCATAATTATTTTCCTCTTGTTGTTTGATATTAAAGAGTTCTTCTACGGTGAATTGGGGGCTGGCTGTTTGTTAAAGCGGAAGTTTCTTTGAGATTGGGGTCTATTAAAGCCAGTTTAGCGTCTAGATATGCTCATAAGTGTTGGCTTATATGATTGAGATGGAACTGGTTTATGAAAATTGGGTTGATTAGGACTAGAATTTTGTGCATATGAAGTGATTTGACAATTTTATTGGAATCTAGGGGTTTTGAAATGTCCCTCTTGGAATATTGTTGAATGGCTGTTGACTTGGGTTGTAGTTAATGAGTTTTCGTTACGTTGGTCTGCAAAATTTTGGACAAGAATTGATTTCATTGACGGCCAGTCTTTACAGCCGTACACAGAAATAATTTCTCTGGCTCTTCCTTTAATTTTGTTCATAATTACTAGGGTAAGCATGTGATTTTGAAAATTTTCGGGATTTGTATGATCCCAGAAATGGTTTAGAAGCATGGAAATAACATCAATAAAATTGTGGAGTTCATTTGGATAACCGTGGTGCTCTGGTATGATAGAAAGGTCTTTTTTAACATCAAAAATAGGTGCCATATTGGAATTATTTGAAATTGATGGTGGTGTAATTATTATAGAAGGTATTTCAAACGAATTTGTGGACTTGTCCACATATATGCAATATATATAAATATTGCCAACTAAATGTAAATCTGGTTTAATATTTTTACTAGATTCTATATTAGATTCAAAAATTGTTGAAATTGTTTTTCTTATTCTACAGGATGATACTTCTGAAATGATATTAAAATTAGAAATAAGATGAAATTTGCTTACATGAAGTTTCTTATCAGCTTTCTTCATAAATATGATTTTTTGCCAATTTTCCTGGAATGTGTGGGTTAAACATCTTCATTTTTCCCTGGATTTGGGTTCGGTAGCGGGTAAACGTTTGAAAACGATAAGGGTCTTCTGGAGACTCTCCCACTAATCCACTGAATGCGCCACTTAGGGGTTGGCACTCCCGAAAGTATTTTTTAAAAAGGCCCTCTTACAGATACAACTAACAGAGTAACAGCACTTTATTTAATATAATTACAATTGACTTTAAAATAAAAATTTACAGTATTTATAAAAAATTAATTGATGACAATCTGTCTGCAATAAGTGTCGAAACTGCTATTCGCCTGGACTATTAAAATGCAATACCGCTGACAATCGGGATTAATGTATCTTAATTTACTTCTCACGAAACAAACTGCGTATCATAAACTCAGCGAGATTCCTTTTTAAGTACCTATTAAGAATGTCTATATTACTATTCAGTCTAGCAATAGGATATATATAAAACCCAAACGCTAAGTTTTAAAGCATTATTAGTTTAGTTGTTGCGATGGCTGATGACGTTAGGTAATTAGTTTTTTTCAAATAAGATTGTGCGATTGAGATCTCGCAGTAGAAAAAATTTTCTTATATTTCTAAAGTTCTTTTGATGCTGCTGGCATTCAGTAGCCATGCTTATCAGTGTCCCACGACCTCTGCGGTTTTAATGCCAGGCTACCTACGGAATAACTCTTTGTCAATATGTCAACAATAGTTCGAGGGTTAATGCCGTTTTTTGCGTTAACACTTGACCACCAGAGGTTAACGACTTTCAAAACTGGGTGTGTAAATATTTTAAGTAAATAGTTTTTTTAAGATTACCTATATATGATTAAATTCTTTTAATGTCTTTATTATTAGAAAGTAACGAATTTTATTGATTAAGAGATATATGATTAAATTTTGTTGATATTTCAATTATTACGACGTAACAAATTTTGTTGTTAACAAATTGTAATTGTCTTGATA